ACCCAACCAACCAACCAACCCACCCACAGCAACGACAGAAAACCCAAACCCACTGCCGCCAAGTAGCTTTCAGCGTATAGCAGCCCTACCTAGAGTTTCCAAGACTGTAGATCTTTACGAGAGCAGACAGCCTCATTGTTCTCCCTTAGGACACCTGGCGGGTTTGAACCACTGACCTTGAAGTTAGCAGCCCAACACATAGCCCACAGCACCACCTGTCTGACCATTCTGGAAGCCGGGAGTCCAGACCGTGTGTCAGCCATGTTGATCCTCTCCAACGGCTCAGAGAGGAATTGTCCCATGCCGCTGATTGGGGTCCCTGGGTTTGTGGACATGCCTACCCCCCTTCTCACTCGGTGTCTCCTTTGTCTTCTTGTCTTTCTGTGGACCTTCTCTTCTTTTGACAGGACACCCCTCTTGCTCCCATCCAAAGGGCCCCAGTCCACCTCCACTTGGACTTCATGGTCTCCACCACCGCAGGGCCCTCAGCCATCAGTCCCTCCCATCTGGGTTGCACCTTCAACCTCTCCCTCTGCCGGGACTTTCCCTGCCCCCAAACAAGTACCAGCGTCATGCATCTCAACAACACCAACACCCAAACTTCCCTTCCTCCTGACCCATAGTTCTAGCAACCTTCGTTCTCTGTCGCATCTTCCTGAAGGAAAAGAAAGCACCCTCACGTCCGTTTCCGATCCCATCTGTCCGCATGGCTGCGGGCGTGATCGAAGCCACAGCTCTCTGTAAGATGGGAATCACCCCAGGAGGGTGCTATCAGGGTTGGAGGTAGGAATGCTGTCACGGAGCTCAGCCCAGAGCCAGGCATGGGAGAAAGGGCCAGAGGCTTGGTCATGGTAGGGCCTTCCGCTCTGCTAACAAGCCTAGACCAGCGGTTCCCACACTTACTTGGCCGACTGCTTCTTTTACAGAAAAAAAAAAAAATCCACGCCCCCGTGGCATTGAAACACAGTTGTCCCGTAGCCCATACGTAGTCCAGGATACAGTAGGTACCTGCTCAGGAGCCCTGGTGGCATAGAGGCTATGCATTGGGTTGCTGTCTGTAAGGTCGGCAGTTTGAAACCACCGTGGGAGAGCAGTGGGCTTTTTTACTCCTGTCAAGAGTCCGAGTCTTGAAATGCCCAGGGCCTGCCCTGGAGGGTCGCCGGGGGTCAGAGCTGACTCGCGGGGTGAGTTTGGGTTTTGGAGGACCCCACAGAAGTAGTTTCTGCAAGAGGAGGGGTATTTATTTCTGAGCCTGACTGCAATAGTTGACTGTTCTAGTGCCCACCAGGGGGCGGGATCACCCCCCTGTCGGAAACATGGCCCTAGATCTCCAGAGTCAAGGCCAAGGCCCTCTCTAAGAGTAGCCTCCCTCTCCACTGGGTGGCCGTTCACCTGCACGTGGAACTCTGGGCTGTCCCTGGAGCTTCTCTCGGCTCTGGATGTAATATGTTACTTTTGTTTTTGCGGGGGAGGGGGGAGGTGTCCAGGAAGCACCCCTCTCTCGCCATTCCTGTCACCCAGCTACTCTGTCCTTCAGGGAGAAGCACCTCTAACAGCCTCCCCCTCCTCCCCTCCCACCACCCACCTGGGGGATTAGTGTTCAGTCTACCTCTGCCCTAGCATTCCCCCCGCACCCCAACAGGGCCACTACCACCATCTCCCTTGCCTGATGAGTAAGAACCCAAAGGCCAGCACAGGGCCGTGACAGGTCGGAGGCTCGAATTCAACCGAGGTACCTCAGAAGCAGGGCCTGGCGGTCGACTTCTGTAAAACCAACAACTGAAAACCCCGTGAAGCCCCGTTCTGCGCTGACACACAAGGGGGTCGCCATGAGTCAGGACAACTGGTTTCCAGTGTGACTTTCTGGTCTTCCTCAGAGCAACGCTTCAGACTTACCTGTACGGGATCACTCCTGGTGGGATTTTAGGGACTCCGCCGAACTCACACCTACGTGCTCTGTCCAATATTCTTTTAACCAGGAAGGGACACCTGTCCTTCTGCAGCCAGAAGGAAAAGGGTTCACATGCAACCAAGTGGAAGAAGCCTCATTGTCATGAGGGTCCTTTTCCACTAGAGCTTCAGTGAGCTGGTTGAGATCAGACCCGGGCATGGGGAGAGATGGGGAGAACAGGACGCTCCTGTCCCCCTGAGCAGTGGGGAGAAGACTTCCTGGTGGGCAGGGAAGAGGGAAGAGAGCCAGTAAGACGAGGCACAGGAAGCTGAGGCTGGACACTCCTTGTAGAATCCGCCTCTTCCAGACAAGTGGAAGAGAGAAGGGGGGTGTTCACTTCATGGACTGAAGAGTGTCCGAGTGTCATAGTCTTGGGGTTCCACCAGCCTCTATCAGACCAGGAAGCACGATCTTTATGATTTCGAGTTTTGTCTGCTGCTGGTTTTTAACATGAGCCATTTGGCTTCAAGTCCTTGGGCCACCTAGAAGCCCCACCTGTTCTCCCCACAGGTAACCATCTACCTGGGGAAGAGAGACTACATAGACCACGTCAGCCAAGTGGAGCCCGTGGGTAAGTTGTGTCTGGAGGGGGCTCTCCTACTGACTTGTGGTTGTCACCGTTGCTGTCGTTTTAACTTGGTGGGCAGCTGTGTCTTTGTTGGTTTGTTTTAAACTGGCCTCACTGATAATGTTATCAAAACATGCAACTTAAAATAAGAATCAGTGACAGAAAGACACAAGCTCAGTAAAATGCCAGCAGCTGGTTTGAAGGCAATTTAAAGGACATGGGAGAGACAAGGGGTTCGTCTCTAGATAGTAAAGAACTTCCAGATTCAACAGTGAAACAACCCCCCCCCCAAATATAAATGGACCAAACTAAAATATAGACATAAAAAAACAAGCCTCACTGCCATCGAGTCGATGCTGACTCACAGCGACCCTACAGGACAGGGTAGAACCGCCCTGTGGGCTTCCAGACTCACTGCTGATGGAGCAGAAAGGCCCGGCTTTCCCCCACATGGCCCAGTGATTGCAGCCATCCCAGCAACCCAAAAACCTACATTCTCACGAGACACTCGGCCCCACTGCTTACAGCAGCTCGACACAGAACAGCCCGGACTGGAAACCAGCCCCGAGCCCTCCCCGAGTGAAGAGTTGACCCACCGTGTCGGTGCGTGCCATGGGCCTGGTGGTGGTTGCTAGCCGCTGTTGACAGAGCAGGTCCCTGGCTCAGAGCGACCCACGGCCCAACTAAGCACCATGCTCGCTGCCTGGCTGTGCCCTCGCCTCCATCGGCTGCAGATGGGCCGGGTGACACTCCCTGGGGTTTTCCCGGCTGAGCCACAGACGAGGCTGCCGGGCCTTCTCTCCTCTCCTCGCCTTCTCCTAGAAGCTTTGAGGCATCCACCAGCATCATGTCATTATCAGGTGCTGTCTAGTCGGTCTGACTCATCGGGGCCTGATGTGCCACGGAACCAAACATTGCCCGGCTCTGCGCCGGCCTCCGCCCTACTGTTGTCACCTTTGTGCCCACCGGTGGAGCCCCTGTGCCAGCCGTCTCCTTGGTGGTCTGCCTCTTTTATGCCGACCCTCCATGTTACCCAAAGTGATGTCCTTCTCCATGGACTGGTCTCTGTTGATGACGTGTGTAGAACAGGCGCGACAATGGGCTCCGTGGACCAACCATGGTGTCAGACTTCATCTTGTCAGTGCAGTGATGGCGACAACTACACACACACACACACACACACACACACACACACACGAAGTGTAAAGATAATGGAATGTCTCCAGGAAGCCGTGTTAGGCCCCTTGGTAACACGCACACGCACATTAGCCAGGCGTACCAGTGCCCTCTGGTCAGCTGTGACATAGGGCCACCCTGTCCCACTGTGTCCGGCATAGAACTGTGCTCCGTCGGACTTTCAAGGGCTGACTTTTCACCAGGCCTTTCTTCTGAGGCACCTCTGGCTACACTGACATCGCATTTAGTTCCCACCCAAGCACATTGGGAAAAATCCATTGCCATTTGGTCAACTCTGACCCATGGCAACCCTATAGGACAGCGTAGAACTGGCCACCCCTGTTGTTTCCAAGATGGTAACTCTTTGCAGGAGTAAAAAGCTGCATCTTTCTCCCACGGAGCGGCTGGTGGTTTTGAACTGCTGGCCTTGTGCATAGCGGCTCAACACGTAACCCCGGGCACCCCCAGAGCACCTTTCCCAGGCGCTTTAGGTGTTGGCAATTCTCAGAGACTCCTGGCAATGTAGCGTTGAGTGATCTAAGTAGTTAACGGAATCGTGAGTATATTAGAGGCTCATTTGGGGAAGGGTTTAAAGCCTTGGTAGAATGAAGTCTATATCTGGGGGAGGGGGAGGTGCATGGAAATCTGCTCCGATATCTAGAGATTCCGTCCTCTCTGGGTGGTCGGATTTTGGAGGGCTTTGCTGTCTCTTTGCTTCACGTGACTTTCAAAGGGTTTTCCCTTAACAAGCTCGGATCACGTGTGCGATACGTCCATGCTCCCCCTCAATGTCCTCTCCCTCTCTGGTTTAGATGGAGTCGTGTTGGTCGATCCTGATCTCGTCAAGGGCAAGAAAGGTAAGGACCTCCTGGTCCTGGGAGAGGGACATGGGTGCAAAGGGTCCTTGGTCCTGTACTGAGGTCTTGGAAACGGCAGCCCGGTCCAGAGCGCAGGGCCAGCATCTGGCGAATGGTTGCACATTTGTCCACTCATCCCCTGCACCGCCCCCCACGCACCCCAAGGATAAGCCCACACAGGCACTCACTTCTCAGACCAGACGTGCAGATTCAGAGAGGGGTGTGTCCACAGGGACAGGAGAAGTACCAGTGAGTGGGCAGGGGTTTTGTCTGCAGCCCTCACTGGGGCTTGGGGACAGACTCTGAAAGAGGAGGCTTTACCCTGAAGCATGGGATAGAGCCAACTGGGAGGCAGGGTAGGTCCGGCCAGGGTGTGCTTCTCAGTTTACGGCAGCAGGCAGTCATGAAGTGTATAACGAGCGATTTTGCTACCAGTTCTGTAAATGAAATTCGAGCCCACACGGCTGGTCCTGATGCCAATGTCCCCTGGCTCATTTTCTTCCAGAAGTGCTCTTTTGCGTGGTTGCTATGGGCAACCCCAAGGAATTGCTCTTAGTCCGGGGCTGCCCAGGATGGAAGGGCAGGTGCCAGGTGTCTACTCTGAGGACTTGGGGGGCAGAAGTGAAGTTGAACCCCCACCCCTCACTCCTCTATGTGGTTTTTTTTACCACTCAGGGGAGACTGAATCGGGCCATAAAATCCCTGATCGTGGCTTTCAAAGTCACCTGCTCTGAGGGGTTACTTCTGAGACGACACGGCTGCTCTTGATGAGGGCGGGTATAAAGCCAGGGACTCCGGGCGCCTTCTTCTTGCCCCCCACCCCCCTCCGTGAGGGCATGGGCAGGTGACCATGTTCTTCCAACCTCAGGGGTGTGGGGCACATCAAAGCACAAGGTCCTCGACCCTGAGCTCCTCGGGGCCACTTCTGAGCTGCTTTGCGGGACCTCTAAGGAGCCCTGGCGGTGTAGTGGGCTACACCCTGGGCTCTAGCTGCAAGATCAGCGGTTCAAAACCACCAGCTGCTCCTCGGGAGGAAATCCAGGCTCTACTTCCAGACCGAGTCTGTCTGGGAAACCCACAAAGGCGGTCCTGCCCGGTCCTCTAGGGTCACTCTGAGTCGGCCTCGGCTCGGTGGCCGTGAGTCTGGTTGTGAGATTTACAACATGGGAAATAAACCAACACCAACCCGTTGCCCTCGAGTCCAGTGCAGCACCCAGGAGACCCCCGTGGATCCGAGTAGAGCCGTGCTCCACAGGGTCAACGGCTGCTCCTCAGTAGATCACCAGGCCTTGCTTCCGGGCACCGCTGGGTGGCCATGAACCATCCATCTTTGGGTCCGCAGCTGAGGGCATGAAGCACTGGCACCTCCCAGGGATGTCAGCCCACTCCTAGCTCCGCTGCCTGCCCGCCCCCGCCCCCCCCCTCAAGTAAGGTTTCCCTCTGTCTCTTACTCTTACCCCCAAATTCTAGCCAGGACCCGGCACTGTTTCAAAATCCAAACCAAACTCACTGCCATCGAGTTGATGCCGACTCAGAGCGACCCTGTCGGATAGGTAGACCGGCCCCTGCGGGATTCTGAGACTGTCACCCTGTATGGGAGTGGAAAGCCCCGTCTTTCTCCTGTGGAGCGGCTGGTGCTTTAGAACTGCTGACCTTGCGGTTAGCAGCCCAACAAGGACCCCACTATGGTCCTGCACTGTCTCAAAGCCTCCTCAAATCCCTGAGTGGGTGGGCCAAGAGAATCAAGGGTACAGTGCAGCAAGGGGTGGATATCATGTCCTCAGCCCCCCCCCCCCATGTTCATCAACCTGGCCCACGAATGTGGTTAGAGTGCGGTTCTCAACCTGTGGGTCACAACCCCCTTGGGGGTCAAACAACCCTATTCGTAACAGTAGCAAAATGACAGTGATGAAGCAGCAACGAAAATAATTTTATGGTTGGGGGGGTCACCACAGTATGAGGAACTAGATGAAAGGGTCGCCGCATGAGGAAGGTTGAGAACCACTGGGTTAGAGAAAGGTGCTTCCAACCCCTTAGACAGCCTTTCAGAGGAATTAGCATCTAAGGAGGTGCCGATTTCCAGAAACACATGGCTAGCTCGGTTGGGTCATGTGGTTTTCTCAAACCCCACCTCTTCCAGGGCCTGACGTGAGTGTGAGCAGGTCGCCCCTCTAACACATTCGGTCTAATGGCAGCGGACACCATGTCAACAGACGTTGTGGGGAGTCTAACGTTTCAAAGCCCAACCTTCTCTTGTCTTCCTCGCAGTTTATGTCACTCTGACCTGTGCCTTCCGCTACGGCCAGGAAGACATCGACGTGATTGGCCTGTCCTTCCGCCGGGACCTGTACTTCTCTCGGGTTCAGGTGTATCCTCCCGTGGGGCCTGCAAGCACCCCCACGCATCTGCAGGAGAGCCTGCTCAAGAAGCTGGGGGCCAACACCTATCCCTTTCTGCTCACGGTGGGTGTGTGCTCCTCCCCACCCCTCCACCACGCCATCCCCCTACTTCCCTGGGCCACGATCACGTGGACGGAGCCGAGGAAGGGGGACGGGGCAATCACTTCCCATTTGTGGCTCTTTAAATTGCACCCTTGGAGGAAATTCTAGAGTGCATGGTCTGTGATTGTCTTTTTTAAAAGCCCTTGAAAACAGCCTCTCAGCCTTTGACGGCACCATTTTAACCAGCAGCTTAACTATATCCCCCTTCACCGACCACCTAATTATACGCGCATGTGTGATGCCTTGGCTCGCCTAACTATAAAAAGAACAGCTGGCTCCAAAGCTCTGACCAGGAAAGGGTGCCCTGCAGACGGGCAGGTCAGGTGAAACCCGTCCACACACAGAGGGTCATGGTGGACACATTGGGGCTTCTCCCTTGAGGAGTCTGGCTGCCTCGGGGCCAGGACTCGGGTGTTCAGAGCCTTGGGCCTAAGCTTGAGGTGGGGGAAGCTCCTGCTGCTCACGTCACTGGTATTTTTTAAACATTTGGTCTGAAGATTATAGACAGGCAAGGCTTGGAGCTGTGGTGGGTTCGATTCTAGACCACTGCAGCAAAGCAACTATCGCCAGAAAGCAAGTCCCCACGTCCCCAACCCCCAACCCTCACCCCCAGCCACCAGGGTATAGCAATGTTGTGTTGACATTGTCCTGTCATCTACGAGGCATAGAACTGCATGATGGGAAAGTCTGGGATCTCGAGAGCAGGACCACAACGGGCCACCACGTGACAGAGTGAGCAGGTGCCACTGGGACCTGCAGGGTTCACATCACTTCCATGTGTAAAGCGCGCAGTATCGGAGGCACGCAGTTGAGCAAGGTGGGCCTGTGCCATTCAGACCTGGAAGTCGTCCTCGGGTGGTGCCACCAGTGAAGCCCTGGTGGTGAAAGGCCACCCCGAGGCGCCTCCGAAGACAGGCCAGCAGTCCTGCTTCCGGAAGGTCACAGCTTCCCTGGGGGGCACCAATCTGTGTCTACGGAGCCCCCCTGCGTCAGCATCAACTTGGTGGTCACTCACAACAGCAACAAACGTGAGCCGGTCCTGAAAGTTCCCTTTCAAAAAAGACTCGGTGAGAAGGAGGCGCTTTGGAGTGGCCAACGGGGACCTGGGAGGGATATGCCCTCGGCGGGAGCACGGCCCGGCTGGCAAAAAGAGGGGAGGATTTACAGCCCTTCCTGATGAAGATGGAGGACGGCAGCCTTCAGGATGGATTGCAGCGATGGAGGACGGCAGCCTTCAGGATGGATTGCAGCGCAATGTCAAGAAGACCCTCAGCCCCACTACGGGACAGAGAGGTCACATCGTGATAAACAGAGAAGAGATCGACGTTGTCTGGGCTTTTGTCTTGTCGGACCTCTTTTTTAAAGATTTTTATTAGGGGCTCATACAACTGTTATCCCAATCCATACACACATCAATTGTGTAAAGCGCATTTGTACATCATTCTCAAAACATCTTCTCTCCACTTAAACCCCCAGCATTAGGTCCTCATTTTTCCCCTCCCTCCCCGCCCCCCTTCCTCACGAGCCCTTGATAGTTTATAAATGGGTATTTTGTCATATCTTGCCCTGTCCGACGTCTCCCTTCACCCACTTTTCTGTTGTCCGTCCCCCAGGGAGGAGGTCACATATAGTTCCTTGTAATCGGTTCCCTCTTTCCTACCCATTTTCCCTCTACCCTCCCTGTTTCGCCACTCACACCACTTTAAAGTGTCGAAAGCAAGGGTGTTTCTCTGAGGACTCGGGGGTGCCTGACTTCAAGCCATTTCCAGCCTCCTCGTATGCTTGTGGAAGTCGGGCATCGAGTAAGGGAGACTGCAGAAGAGTCAGTGCTTTGAGTGAAGGTATGGGCACCGAATATTGAAAGTCTAACAGACTGCCGAAAGAGCAGACACAGCTGTCTCGGAAGAAGTTCAGCCAGAAGACTGCTTAGAAGCAAGGTAGGTGAGACTTTGTCTCACGTGCTTTGGCCATGTGATGCGGAGAGACCAGGCCCCGGGAGAGGACGTCCCCCTGGGTGAGGGCGAAGGGCCGAGGGGAAGGAAGACAAGGGGGTTGACACGTGGCGGTGACACTGGGCCCACACATGGCAGGGATTTCAGGACGGTGCAGACGCAGGTCGTGTTTCGTGTTGTTGTCTGCCGGTCGCCGTGGATCGGAACCGGCTCCACAGCACCTAGCAACAGGGACGTGCATGGTGCTCAGGACTGGGCAGCGTCCCCTTCTGTGACACCGAGGGTCCTTGGCCGTCCACACGGACCCAGCAGCAATGAACAACAGCGGGGACTCATGAAAGGGGAAAGAACGATAATCCTAAGAAAGAAAAGGAAAAGGTGCACCATCCTGGGACTTCCCCAGGGGCTGCAGTGGGGTCTGTAAACGGGTGTAGACTTGGTGACCACACAGCAAGATGTGTCCCAAACCAGAGGGGATGCTTTTGAGCCCACAGTTTCATTTCTAGGAATTTGTCCTCTGGAATTCACTGGACAAAGGGGTACAAAGGTGTGGGAAGAAAGGCTTCCCTCCTGGCGTGGTCTGAGAAATGACAAGCGAGTCAAGATGATCTAACGGCTGGCCTTTGAAGGACGGTGCTGACAAGTATCGCATATACCGCGGGCTCCCGGAAGAGCCAGCAGGTCTGTCTCGGTAGCAGTACAACCAGGACACTCAGAAGAAGCGAGGATGCGGACACTTCATCTCGCTTACCGTGGGCATGCGATCAGAAGGGACCAGCCTTGGAAAAGGACATCTTGCTTCGGCCTAGAGATGGATGGACGCCGTGGCCGGAACATCAATGATTGTGATGAGGATGGTGCAGGACAGGGCAGTGCCCTGTTGTGTTGTGCCAGGGGCTACTGTGAATCAGAATCCACCCGACAGCCATAATGGCAGCATGGGACCAACCAAGGCTGCCTGACCCGCAGCTGATGCTCCCAGAGCCCTGCAAGAGACGGCTGTTGTTGTCGCTGTTAGGGGCAGAACGCTCCTTCATGACAGGAAGAGACGTGCACCATGCACCCTGAAGAAGGTTCTACAAAACCCACCCCACCCTCGGCTGGGGGGTCAAGCCCAACTCTTAGCAACCCTGCAGGACAGAGCAGAGCTGTCCCCACAGGGATGCCAAGAGTGTCGTCTTTATGGGCATCCCTGCCACCATTTTCTCCCATAGACCTTTGCGTTGGCCATGAACCACTGTGCCATGAGGGCCCCTCGAAGAGGGCGAAGAGGGGTGGAGGGGCGGAGCCAGCACCTGCTGGTCATGATCCCTTCTCTAGAACCCACTCAAGGGGAAAGTTCTGGAAGGCTACACCAACACCTTTTTTTCTGGGTGTGGGGTGAGCGTTTAGCTTTGGCTTCCTCTGCATGTCCATGGTCCATGTTTTGGGCCACGGCCACCCTCATCTAGGACATGCCGGATAACCCCCTCTGAAAGGAATGATTTCCGTTTCTTCTCACAGTTTCCCGACTACCTGCCCTGCTCGGTGATGCTGCAGCCAGCTCCCCAGGATGTGGGGAAGGTCAGTCCAAGAGGAAATGCTTCCTTCCCTCCCTTCCCTCCCTTTCCTTCCAGGGACTTGTGTTGTGTTTTAAACCTTTTGTTATGTGTCCAGCGAAGGTTCACAGCACAGATTGGTTTTCCATCCAACGACCCCTTCCCGTTGTTTCGTTTCACGTGGTGGGTGGCCATCCCTGCAGGGTAGCACCACTGTTCCTGCTTCCTCCCGGTGTCTCCATTCCTCCTCCTCCTAGCCTCTTGGAACTTTGTTCTTGAGCAAATGCTGCTCTTTGACCGTAAGGTGTGTCTCCCTAGCTGACCGTGTGCATGTATGTTTGATGGAGCTTTTGAAATTGCTCCGTGGCTGCAGAGTGTCCAGCGCTGGGGTCTCTCTGGCACCATTGACCTGGATGTTGTTAGGGATGCTTTGCCCCTCTGGTGAGTTGGTGATGGGCAGGCCAGTGCCCCTCCTCCTGTGCCGCCCCCCACCCCAGGGTGCGTTCTCAGCGCTGAGGAGCACACCTCCTGGGCTGGGACCAGAGTGGCCTGTGCATGCCTGATTCGCACCCATGCAAGCGTCAATTGTTTTTTGTTGTTGTTAAATTTGTTTTAGAAAATCAGGCTATCCCCAACCCCAAGGCCCACCTCCACCTTCTTTTTCTGTTTGTTTGTTTTTATTAATCATTTTATTGGGGCTCATACAATTCTTCACAATCCATACATACATCAATTGTGTAAAGCACACTTATACATTTGTTGCCCCCATCATTCTCAAAATTCGCTTTCTGCTTGGGTTCCTGGAATTCGCGCCTCATTTTCTTTTTTCCCCTCCCCCTTCTTTTAAAAACGGGTGCCCCCAACACTAGTCCCCCCTTACTGGGCCATGCTTGCTGTAGCTGAAAAGCAGCTAGTCGCCAGAGTCAGGGAGTCAAGGCCCCGGCATGGGGCCATCATAGATGCCTGTCTAGTGGTGCCAGCCCTGTGAGGGTCTGTCCCCCCTGTGGTAGCAGTGAGAAGTCAGGAAACTGTCTACATGGGTCGAGTGCAGGGAGATCTAGGGGTGGTGGCAGGGGGCTACTGAGGGAGGGGGCTGGAGACGGGGAAATGGCTGGAGGCAGAGACCTGCAGTGAGTCATACTCTGTCCCACACTGGGGTCCTGCAGCCCCCCAGCTGAGTCCCCGTTGTCCCCTCCCTCTCCTGGTGGGAACATCACCACGCCACCACTGGGTCCACTTCAGCATCCCCATTCAGAGGTCCCACCCGAAGAAGAAAATGGCTAGAACCCATAGAGACACCCAACACAAGTGCCCCCGGAGTTTGTGGTTCCGTCCTGCTCCCTCAAGCCCCTGTTGGACAGGGCACCGCTGACCGCTGTTCCTCTCTGTTCTTTTGCCCCCACAGTCGTGCGGGGTTGATTTTGAGGTCAAAGCATTTGCCACGGACAGTGCCGATGGGGAAGAGGATAAAATTCCCAAAAAGTAAGAGCGTGATTGGGCCCAGGTTGTGCGGGTCTGGGCCCCCCCTCCCCTTACTGCCCCTCACTGCCTTTACTGAAGTCATCAGGTCAGGGCAATTAAAGACAGACCCTTGGACAGATGAGACTGGTCCAGTGACAGGTCATTTGGGGTAGGGGTGGGGGTGGGGAAAGACACAGAAGATGTTGGTAGGAGCTGCTGCCTCAAGGGCTCCTGCCCGCACCTGCCCACTCCCAGATTCCCTGCCATCTGTTTTCTTTCTGCCCCCAACCAGACTTGCAGCTGCGCCCCCACATGCACACACACATACATGCACACGTGCCCACATGTGCACCTGCTCCTCAGAAAGGTAGACCGAGACCAATGCCACAGGCAGGTCTCACTGGTTGGCACTTCCCACACACTATCGTTTTTCACAATTCAAGGTTTGGGGCAATGGACACCATATTTCACTTTGGGCCTCTGTGTCCCAATTTTGGTCACTCTCACCCCATCACAACCCTTGGCTTGATGCTGTTGCACACTGCAGAGATAACAGAGTGTAGACCCCTGGGGGACTCACTGTCATGACAGCAGAGTGTAGACATCCAAGGGACTCGCTTTGTCA